GCTATGGCTTTTCTGGGGCTGAGAGTGTGTGCTTGCATATTTTTTTAATTGTTTAATTTTTAAAAAATATTTATTTATTTATTTATTTATTTTGGGTGCTTCGACCCCCCAATTGTTTGAGGGACAGCAACCCGGCCCCCGGCTCAAAAAGGTTGCCTACCCCTGATCTATGCAGTCAAAGGCTTTGCTATAGTCTATGAAGCACATGCTAATTTTCTTTTGGAAGTCCCTGGTGCTCTCCATTAGTCATCGTATATTTGCAATGCAAGGTTCCTAGTGCCTCTTCCTTTCCTGAACCCTGCTTGGACCTCTGGGATTTCTTTCTCCATGATTTTGCTTGCGTGGGAGATGAATGCTATGTTTTTATAGTTGCTACAATCTCTTGTGTTTCTCTTTTTTGTGGATGGGGATATATATTGATTGCTTCCAATCTGTTGGGCATTGTTTTGTTTTTCCATATCTGTTGACATATGTTGGTTAGCATTAGAGTTGACTCTCTCAGTGTGGATTGCAGCAGTTCAATTGGGATATCATCTGTTCCTGGTGATTTGTTTTTTGTTATTTCTCTTATTACAGTTTCCACCTCACTTTTTAGAATTTGGGGCTCATCCTCATATGGCTCTTCGTTACATGTGTCCTTCATTTTGTCATCTCTTTTGTATAATTCTTCTGTGTATTGCATCCAGTGTCTTTTTATTCATTCCTAGTCTTGAATTCTGTTATTTTTATTGTCATCGATCAGCCCAGTCCTTGATTCTAATTTTCCTTTGATTTCCTGGATCTTGTGAAATAGATCTCTTGTTCTTCCCTTTTTGTTGTTGTCTTCTATTTCTCTACATTGGTTGTTGTAGTGATTTTCTTTATCTTTCTACACAAGCCATTGTACTGTCACATTCATGATTCTTAGTCTGTTCCTATCTCCCTTTTGTTTTTCTTCTCTTTTCTTTATTGCTTGTGTTTTTTCTGTCATCCATATTTTTTTCTCTTTCTTTTTGTTTATTGAAAGTGTCTGTCTGCATTCTTCTTTTATTCTGTCCCTGGCTTTGGATCATAATTCCTCTGGTTCTTGATTCATAATGCTTAGTAGTGTGAATCTTGTTTTTTATGTTGTCAATTGATTCTGTTGAGTTATTATTTATATCATATTTTGGTATAATCACTGATTTTGTTTTCCCCTTGAGTCTTACTCCTATTGTTGATATGAGTAGTTCATGATCTGTGCCACAGTTGGCACCTAGTCTAGTCTTGGCCACCAGTATAGAGTTCCACCATCTTTTGCTTCCAGTTATATAGTCTATTTGTTTTTTGTGTTGACCATCTGTTGAGCTTCATGTGTATAGCCTTTTTTCTGGTTGTATGAAGAATGTGTTTGCAATAAATAGGTTATTGGCTTCACAAAAATCTATCCGATGTTCACCTGCTTCGTTTCTTTTGCCTAATCCAAATCTGCCTACTGTTTTTGATTCTTCTTTGCTTCCAACTTTTGCGTTCCAGTCTCCAATGATCAGCTTGACATCCTGTGTTGGTGTGCTGTCAATTTCTTCCTATACTCCTTTGTAAAATCTAGCAGTTTCTTCCTGTTCTACCTCTGTGGTTGGTGCATATATTTGAATTATGGTGATATTCATAGGTTTACCATGGAGCCTTACTGAAATGATTCGGTCTGATTTTGCATTGTCTCCTCTGACTGCTTTTACCACATCTTTTCTTAGTATGAAAGCCACTCCATTTCTTCTTGTCTTTTCATTCCCTGAGTAGAACACTCTGTGGTTGTCTGCTTCAAAGTGGCCCATTCCTGTCCATTTTAACTCACCCCCAGTACTGTTATCTTCATGTGTTGCATTTCTAGTTTTTCTATGTCTAGCTTCCCTTGGCTTATGCTCCTCACATTCCACATCTCTATCTTATGTGTAATGCTACTTTGGATGCCATTTGCCTTTCTAAGGGTGTCTGCTATTTGTCTTGACATCTTTCTTATGCTTTTGGCTAATCTTGCAAATGTGATATCCCTTTATTTCTCCTTCCTTCCCTTTCTGTTAATCCTCTGATCCTGCCTGTGTCTCACTTGGGGTGTCTCATCATAGGATTTACTAGGTGATGGGGTTACACAAGGAGAACCACCTACTTCTCCCAGTGCGCAGTGCCAACCAATGTTAGCTATAGTGTCACTACAGTTCTCTCCTGTCAGTGACATCCACCACTACTGCTGCTGCTGCTGCACAGTAGCTGTTTGTCTCCCTGTATTATTCTTCCTGTTGTTGGTTGTTTACTATCCTATCCATTCCCTTATGCCTTCCTGGGTTTTCCTCGTTCCCTTCCCTTGTGTCCTCCCACCTTGTCCATCTCCATCCCCATCCCCACCCCATCCCTCTTTACTTCCTTCACTTCTTTCTCAGTAGCATCCAAAAGCCACCCAGCCAACAGGGATACCTTTAGTGTTATTGAAAGTATGTTTTGTGTTATTGCAAATTACCTTTTCTGTTATTGCAAAGTATAATCACATCCAAAATCCACCCAACAGGGATGCCTTTTAATAATAATAATAATTTTATAATAATAATTTTATTTAATACCCCGCCCCTCTGAGAACAATCGGGGCGGCTTACATCATAAAAATCATCACACAATTTAAGAACAATTCCCCCCTTTTGAGTTATTACAAAGTACAGTAGCATCCAAAATCCACCCAACAGGGAAACCTTTGGTGTCATTGCAAAGTGCTTTTTCTATTATTGCAAAGTACTTTTTGTGTTATTGCAAAGTACCTTTTCTGTTGCTGCAAAATACTTTTTCTGTACTATTTGTGTTATTGCAAAGTACTTTTTTGTGTTATTGCAAAGTACCTTCCTTTTCTGTTATTGCAAGGTACAATCACATCCAAAATCCACCCAACAGGGATACCTTTGGTGTTATTTCAAAGTGCAGTCATATCCAAAACCCACTGGTAATACCTTTTGTGTTATTGCAAAGTACAATAACTTCCAAAGTCCACACAACAGGGACGTCTTTATTCAAACAACCAAAATGCGCAAAATACATGTTGCAGGACTGTTATTTTTCTTTCTCCTGTATGATTTTTTTTAACGTGTTTGCCTCTGGAAGAACACCGTGAAGCTTCAAAAGCTTGCAACATGTATTTTGTGCATTTTGGGTGGCCCAGTAAAGGTATCACTGTTTTGTGGGGTTTGGATGTTATTGTACTTTGCTATATGGCGAACATGGCTACCTTGGATATATTTCAGAGTTGGCATAGTTGGGGTGGAGGGGATTGGAGACAGAAGTTTGGCATGCATGGGTCACAGAAGGTTTTCTTCATGGGGAAACTGTTTCCCTAGGTATAGGTAGGAGTGGGAGTCACATAGCCCCTGCCCCGCAGTTGTTGGACTGCCACTCCCAGTAACCCCCACTATTGGCTGTGAGGACTGCATACCCTCTAACTGTCCTGATTTGGCAAGGACAATCCTGATTTATCTTCTTTCATCCCCTTTTTTAGCTGCTTTTAAAATGTCCCGGTTTTTCGCATGTTCCCCCTTTGCCCTCAGCTTACTTCAGTTGCTGCAAATTAAATTTAAAGTGCAAAAGTAGTTTGCTCTCAGTTAACTCAGCAGGAGAAAAAGGAGAAGAAGGAATCTTGCCCTTCCCAGTAGGTTCAGGCAAAAGCAAATGGCCGCAGCCTCTCTTATCCTGTCTCTTCTTCCTCATTAATAACTTTTGCCGTCATGACCACCCTTTCAGGCTGTGCGAAATGTTGGCGGCCATGAGCCAGCGTGGTGCAGTGGTGTGAGCATTGGACGGTGACTCTGGAGACCAGGGTTCAAATCCCTGCTCGGCCAGGGAAACCCTGGGCAAGTCACACTCTCTCAGCCTCAGAGGTTGGCAATGGCAAACCCCCTCTGAAGAAACTTGCCAAGAAAACCCTATGATAAGTTCACTTTCGGGTCATCCTAAGTCAGAAATGACTTGAAGGCACACAACAACAACAACAACAAATGGAGTGGCAAAGATTCATCGTTCTGTGTGTCAGTCTGGAAGTAAAAAAGAAAGATGCAAGAAAAAAGGGAGTTCTGGTTTTCTTTTCACAGCTTGTCCAGAAGTTATATAAACATTTTTTTTTTGGTATCTAAAACAATCTGAATGGGAATGATGAACAAAGCATTTAATGGAAAATATTCCCCATCCCATGTGAGTGCTGAATAAAGTCTAACATGCTTGGTGGACTTGGTGGGGTCCAAAATGATGAGGAAGAACAAGGAGAAGCTTCAGCTGACCAAGGCTGCAACTATTTGCGTATTTAGCTGCCATTTATTGTCTCACACTTACAGTGACTCTATGAATGAGAGCCCCCCAAGGGTGAATCTACACTGCAGAAATAATGCAGTGTGACACCATTTTAAATCACTGTAGCTCCGTTGCATGTAATCCTGGGATCTGTAGTTTTGCAAGGGCTTTTAGCCTTCTCTGACAGGATGCTGGTGCCTCACAAAATTACAGAATTCCAGGATTCTTTAGAATGAAGCCATGACATAAAGTGGTTTCAGAGTGTGAAGTCGAAGGCTTTCACGGCCGGCATCCGTGGGTTTTTCTGGGTTTTTTTGGGCTATGTGGCTGTGTTCTAGAAGATTTTATTCCTGACATTTTGCCAGCATCTGTGGCTGGCATCTTCAGAGAATGCTGGCATGGAAGTGAGTGCGGTGTATATGTATATGTGTGTATATATATATATATATATATATATATGATTTACATGTTAATCTGTGTTTAGGATTGGTGGTGTGATGGTGGTGGTGTGTGCCTTCAAGTCATTTCCAACTTATGGCAACCCTATCATGGGATCAGGGTGACCAGAGGTCCTCCTTTTCCAGGACGTGTCCCACATTTCAACCTTTTGTCCGGGAGTCTTCCATTTTGAACATGACTATGGAGCATGGTTTTACATTCAGATGTGTTTTGAGCTTTTGTTTGGCCATGTCCTCCATTTTTCTTGAATGTTCTCAATTTTGCGCTGCCTTGGCCCCCTTTGCAGGGAGGACCGCTGGTCAACCTGGGTTGCTGGTCACCCTAAATCAGGGGTAGGCAACCTTTCCCCTTTGAGGGCCAAGGGACTTCAGCTCCCAGAAGCCTCAGCCACGTTGGCCAATAGTCCCATGTTGGCCAATAGCTCCTGGGATTCTGGGAGCTGAAGTCCCTCGGCCCTTAAAGGGGAAAGGTTGCCTACCCCTGCCCTAAATTGTTTCTGCTGCTGATGGAGTTTGTCTTGTGCATGTGTGTTGTGTACCTTCAAGCCCTTTCCCACTTATGGGGACCCTGAGGCGAACTTATTGTGGGGTTTTCTTGGCAAGATTTGTTCAGAGGAGGTTTGCTATTGCCTTCCCCTGAGGCTGAGAGAGTGTGACTTCCCCAAGGCCACCCAGTGGGCTTTATGGTTGAGCAGGGAATCAAACCCTGGTTTCTTAAGTCATAGCCACTAGGTCACAATTAGGATTGCGTGGTTATGATGCGGCCTGAATTAATACAAATTAGGAAATCTTTATCATGTAATCTTTTGATCTGTTGTTGTTGTTGTTGTTGTTGTTGGCCATAACATGTTATGACCCTAAGGCCATACCATATATAGATTTGTTCAGGGGAGGTTTGCCATTGCCTTCCCCTGAGGCTGAGAGAGTGTGACACCTTGCCCAAGGCATAAGGAAAATGCAATCCAGAATGCAAGCAAATAAAAAAAAACCAACTAAAGGGGAAAATAAAAGACACCACAGACTTGAGGAGAATTTCATGCCCTCCCACCTCCTGCTCTTCCGGGAGAAAATGAAGTAAAATTTCTATTTCCATAACCAACAGAGGAGGGAGGAGGGGGAAATGGAGGTAACAGCCACAAAGGGGCGGGGCGTTCCCTCTGATTGGCTGCTCCCTGCAGCCAGTTCCTCGCTGATTGGTCGCTTGCCTGTCTCAGTTCCCTATTTCCAGGTCAGCGCTGTACTTTCGTTTCTGCAGAGTCCAGGAAAGCGACAAGAAGAAGGAGAAGAAGGAGAGAGTGGCTCTGTCCGACCCGGCTGTAGTCCGAACTGCGAGGTGAGTGTGGAAAGCAAGCAAGCAAGCAAGCAAGGAAGGCAGGGTTTGCTGCAGCCATGCTGCAGCCATAAACCACTTTGACCCTATTTTCAGTGCCATGGCTCCATGCTATAAGGAAATCCTGGGATTTGTAGTTTGGTGTTTCCCCTGGCAGGGAAGGCTAAGTGCCGCACCAAACTAGAAATCCCCGAGATTCTGTAGGATAGCAAGCCTTAGTCTTAGGCTGCATCCCAAACCAGGCTGAATACCTACCTCTCCAAACTAGAAATCCCAAGATGATTATGTAGGGTAGAGTCATGGCAGTTAAAGTGTGTGTGTGTGTCAAGCAGCTTTGAGTCTGCAGTGTGACTAAGGGTCTTTACAGACTGCCAGAAATAATGCAGCTTGAGGCCACTTTAACTGTCCTGGCTCAGTGCTAAGGAATCATGGGAACTGTAGTTTATTGTGGCACCGGAGCTCTCTGACAGAGAAGGCTCAATGTTTCAGAAAAAACTACAGTTCCCATGCTTCCCTAGCACTGAGCCAGGACAGTTCAAGTGGCCTCAAGCTGCATTATTTCTGGCAGTCTGCAAAGGCCCTAAGACTCCACCCACACTGCAGAAATAATGGTTGCACATTCTGTAGATTGCAAAATCCAGCCTCTCTTGGCACATGTTTTTATTTTTAATTTTCATATAAGAGGGTTTGGTTAATCTGGCAGGTACAACATTATATAATTAAGCAGCCTTGTAAAGGGGGAAAACCCTACTTCGTTGTTGTTTTCAAAGACATTATTTGTGTTACCTTGGGCGAGTCACACCCTCTCAGCCCCAGAAAACCCATGATTACGACTTGAAGGCACACAACAACAGAAACAAACCCGTGTTAGCCTGTTGCAGCATAAAAAGGAGGAAGGAAGGGAGGAATATAGTAGCACTAATTGATTTTTATTTTAGCATGAACTTTCGTGGATGTCCATGAAATAAAAATCAGCAGGGCTTAAAGGTGCTGCTCTATCCCTTTTCCCCACTCCGCTCCTTCCCTTTCTCCTTTTGTGTTATGGGCCTTCCAGTCGAGTCTGAGCTAGTCCTGTCATTGGGTTTTTCTTAGCAAGATTTATTCAGAGGAGGCTTGCCATTGCCTTCCTCTTAATATAGTCTTTATTACTTGATATTCCCTGCCATTTTTAAAAAAAAAGTAACTATCATGCTGCATTTTTGTATGGCCTGTAAAGGAAAATCCCCCACCACAGTCTGCATAAGGCTGCATCTGCACTGCAGAAATAATCCAGTTTGACACTGATTTGACTCCCATGGCTCAATCCTGTGGAATTATGGGATGTGTAGTTTTGTGAGACTTTTAACTTTCTCTGTCAGAGAGCGCTGGTGCCACAACAAACTACAAATCCCATGATTCCATAGCGTTGAGAGTTGACAAAGAGTCCTGTGGCACCTTGAGAGCAACGGATTAATAAGATTACCAGTGTTTGCTCTAAGACAAGAGAGTGACTGCAGTCATATGAAATACTAAGCCAGGGGTAGGCAACCTTTCCCCTTTAAGGGCCGAGGGACTTCAGCTCCCAGAAGCCTCAGCCATGTTGGCCAATAGTCCCATGTTGGCCAATAGCTCCTGGGATTCTGGGAGCTGAAGTCCCTCGGCCCTTAAAGGGGAAAGGTTGCCTACCCCTGCTCTTGGCACTCCTTTCAGGAGAAGCTCCAAAGAGCTACCAGTGAGAGATTAGGAAAAACAGAAAATTTTTAAAGTCCTGAGGTTGGTGTATTGTTTTAAAATGTATGTTTTTAAAGTTGTTAATAGTTTTAATACCATTTTAATTGTCAGTTTTGTAGAGTTTTAATTGTACTGTGTTTTTTAGACTGTAAGCAGCTTTGGGTCCCAATCTTGGGAGGAAAGCGGGATAGAAATTTCTCCCAGGATGGACTAAGCTCTCACCTTTCGCCACTCTATTCAGAGAAGGAGATGGTTTGTTTTTTGTTGTTGTTTTTACAGTATTTACATTGACCCATAGATAAGTCAACTCAAGTTTTTTGGTTGATTTCTTAACTAAAATTTCTAGACTTATTCATGGTTATATATTGTAATTTTTGAGAACACGTAGTAGTAATGAACTTTCATGTGTGGATGTCACTGATAAACCATAGTTATAATTAACCAAAAGGTGAAATTGTATGTGCTTTGGTACATGGGCAATATTGTGGGCTACTAAAGTGTATGACATCTGAACAATGCAACATATTTTATTGGGGGTACAGTGGAGCATGTGAGGCGAGCAATCTCCCTACAAATGAGCGTGTTTTATTTCTGCAGGATGAGTCAGTGGTATAAACTACAGCAGCTGGATTCCAAATTTTTGGAACAAGTGCACCAGCTCTATGATGACAGTTTTCCAATGGAAATCAGACAATATCTGGCACAGTGGCTAGAAAGCCAAGACTGGTAAGAGACTAACTTGTGCAAGATGTGAAAGGCTGTGGTCCTAAGTAAGGATATGAGTAGCTTCAGTTGTTCATATGATTAAATTGCTCCTGTTTTAGGGAAACAAGGCTTTTGAAAGTATAGAACTTTGCCAGGTTTGCAGAATCATAGGGTTGGAAGGGGTCTTGGGGCTATCAAGTCAAATTTGTTGCTCAGTGCAGGATCTCCAGCTAAAGCATCCCTGACTGGGAGCAGTCCATCCTCTTTTTGAAGATGTCTAAAAAAAAAAAAAAAAAAGAGTAGCTTTCTAGGAAATACATTGAAGTGCACACCTTTTTGTATGTAAATAAAC